CGCCGCGATCATGGGGCTTACCGGCACCCGTTTCGTCAATCCCCATGGCCTGCACGATCCTGCCCAGGTGACCACGGCGCGCGACATGGCCATGATCGCCCTCACCATCAGGGCGCGCTTCCCTCAATATGATGCGCTGTTTTCCACCCGCACTCTTGCGCTGGACGAGTCGCGCTCCCATTCCAACAATGAGCTCTTGACCGGCTTTGCGGGCACCGATGGCATGAAGACCGGCTATGTCTGCGCCTCGGGCCTCAATATCGTCGCCACCGTCACCCGCAACGGGCGGCAGCTGATGGCCATAACCTTTGGCGCCAGTTCCTCGCGCGAGCGCGGCGAGATGACCGCCCAGATGCTGTTTTCCGGTTTTGCCGGCGGGTATCGGGGCACCGGCCGCACCGTCAACGCCGTCGCCAACCAGCCCGGTCTGCTGCCTGTCGACATGCGGCCCAATATCTGCGGCGCTGGCGCCACCGACTATTCCGCCGAGCGGGCCGAGCTTTTTTCCGCCGGGCTCGACGGCCAGATTTCCTATCTCAACGACACCATCGTTCCCCCCACCCATACAATTGCCACGCTGGGCCGGCTCGCCGACGTGCCCCTGCCCCGCCCGCGTCCCGGCTCGGGCGTACCCGCCATGGCAACGGGCCCGCTTCCCGATCCGGCACTTTCAGCCGGCTTCGGTGATTCCTCGATCGTCTCGCTAACGCCCGGTCCCTGACGATCTTAGGCCGCGCTTCGCGCCTTGGTCACTGCAAATCGGAGCGCCTCTCCCTCCTCGCGCATGTCCAGGCCGTGCCCGTGCTGGCGGCAATAAAGCGCAATATCGATGCGCGCCACGGGGTCGGTGGCCAGCACCGCAACCGTCTCGCCGGCCCTGGCGCCCGCCAGCGCCTTTTCAAGCTTGAGGACCGGCATCGGACATTTGAGGCCGCGCGCATCGATAACAATATCGCTCATGTCTTTACTCACTCACAGGCTCGAACAAGGGAAAACGGGCAGCGCCCGATGATAGCGGCTCAACGTCAAAGACAGCATTTGTTAAGGTTAATACTATAAGGTGGTTTCCCGTTGGGGAGCGATACCATGACAGAGGGGAAACGGGCCGAGGCCCGGATCGGCCGGCCCCGGGTGGATGACCGGCTTCGGCTCATGACCAATATGCCCGGGCGCTATCATCTTGAAAAGTGGCCCAGCACAAATGACAAGACACCCTATTTCGCTTGCCGTGTGCAACGCATTTCGCCGATGACCATGTCGATCGCCGCCCCGATCGGCGGTGAAATAGGCGATTGGGTAACGGCCCATTTCGAGGAATTCGGCGTTCTTCGCGGCCAGATCACCCGGTCCATGGGCTTTGGTTTCACAATGTCGCTCGATATGAGCGAGGCGGAGCGCGAGCGCCTGGCCGCGCACGTCCAGTGGCTCGAGCAGCACAAGAATTTCGAAGTTTCCGAAAACCGCCGCTATCGGCGCATCACGCCCAAAGACCCCCAATCGACCATCATTCTGGCCGATGGGGTGATGATCGATTGCTTCGTGATCGACATCTCGATGACCGGCGCCGCCGTCTCGGCCGATCTCGACGTCACCATCGGCATGCCGATGGCCCTGGGAACCGTGGTCGGACGCGTCGTGCGCATGCTCGATCCGGGCTTTGCCATTGAATTTGTGACCCGCGTCGATTTCGACAGCCTTGAGCACAAGCTCATCTGCCCCCGCTCCGAACTGCGCAGGCGCCTTCTGGAAAACGCCTAGACGTGTCCAGCATAAGCATGTCCTCGACCCGATCGGGNNAGCGGTTTTGCGGTTCGGACGCGCGAGAGAGCGTAGTTATTGCCCCAGCAGCATGACCCAGTGCGCGCCATAGGCCGAATTGGGATCGTAGACCGCTGCAAACCCGGCCCGGCGCGCATCGGCCTGCGCCAGCACATCGGCATCGGCCGGGCTGTTGCGCCAGCCCGAGAAGGTTTCGGCGAAATTGGTATAGCCTGCCGACAGCCGCATATTGGCAATGCCCGCCGGACGGGCCGGCGGATTTCCCGTGCTGGCATATTGCGCCGCGACACTCTGGGCCTGCGCGTCGAGGGCCGGATCGGCGGCAAGCGGGGCGGCCCCGCGCGTCGCGCGGTACTGGTTGATGATCCCGAGCGCCGCCTGCCGGTCCATCTGCGCGCCCGGCGCGTTGATCTGGCTCACCAGTCCCGGCGCCAGCCCGCCCCCGGTCGAGGGCGCGCCCGAGCAGGCGGCGAGCGCGCCGACGCAGGCAAGACCGAGCGCAAGCGCGCTCAGGCGGGCGGGAGCTATCTG